GAGTATGGGGTGGAGAAATAGGCCTGGGGGTAGGGGTTATGGGGGTGGGGATTTGGACGAGGACCAAGAAGGCCCGGGTTGTTGTTTGGGTTATTGAACTGTCCAGAGTTTTGCCCGAGGGTGTTGCGTGCATTTGACCCGAAGCTTCGGCCGCGACCACGACCCCGATGTTGTCCACCACGCTGCCGCTGCCCGTAACCACTGCCGCCGCTGGAGTCTGTGCGGTTGCCCTGTCGCCGATTTCCGCCACTGCCTGCGCCTCCACTGCCCGCGTAGAGGACTGTCTCGCTGTCTCCTGCGCCACCACCGACCCCCAACTCAGCCTGTTGTTGCTCAATAAGAAGTAGGGCCGACCGGGTTTGAAGGAAGGTGGGGGGCGGCGTTTGGTATTGAAGAAAAGAGGTTTGTGACCGAAGGTCGTCCGGGAGGCCACGAAGAACTTGTAGAACAAGTTGTTGCTCAGAGACGGGGGCATCTACGTCGTCCAACCAATCCGCGAGATTGCGTAGGGTTTGGCAATACACGGTCATGGAGAGAGAACCCTTCGTTGTCGTCTGAAATTGGTGCTCTAGTTGCATAGCCCGGGCCGGTTTGTTGTCATGGAACATATTGTGAATTGATTTCCAAAGCTCCGAGGCTGAATTTGTGGTGGAGAGGACGAGATCACAAACTTCATCGTTCACCGTAGACAAGATCCACCCTTGGATGAGAGCATCAAGTTGGAACCACTCGGAGTCGTCGTCGCTTGAAGGAGAGGACTTGCCGGTGAGGAAATCTCCCAAAGAGAACCGCCGAATGAGAAGGAGGAAAAGCCGGCTCCATTTTTTGTAGTTTGGTTCGGAAAAACTGAGGAGGATCGGTACGTGAAGTTTCACGTTGGAGATGGTCGTGAACGCCAAGTGGGGAGTGGAGGAGGACGATTGAGCACCGGTGACGGGTGTTTTCTCTGACATGGTGACTGAAGAGAGAGAGAGAGGAAGAAGCCTGCCTGAAGGAGGGAGACGCCGAGAGTCTGCCGAGAGAGAGAGAGAGCACTGCCGTGAGGGGAGGAGCCGCCTGGAATCGCCGGCGAAGGGTTGCTGCGGCGAGGGGCTACTGTACGACGAAGGAGAGAGGAGAGAGCTGCTAGAGTTTGCAGCGACGTTCGTTGGAACGTGAGTAACGCTCTGATACCATGAAGAATTGTTAATTTCTATAATTAACAGCGGAGGGCTAAGCCTCGTATAAATAGATACAGTAGCGTCCTAACTACGGAAGGTAACTATACAAGGAAACCTACCATGTGTACAAGGATTGCTACATTAATATTAAATATACACATACTATATTTAACAGTGAGGTCAAAATTGGATTCCCAACGAATTCTTAAACTTTTTTTTGAAATTAGAATTTTTTAACTTAAAAAAATAGTCTCTAGAATTCTTTAGCATAATTGAAGTACTAGTGTAGTAGTGTCATGATCTATATATGAACCTATAAGTGAAGCGTGGAACATTTAGATTCCTAAGCACACAAGAGACGAGAGAGAGAGATATATATGGTCCGTTGAAGTGTGTGGTTGGGGTTGAGCCTTGTAATTTCTCCGTTAGTCAGTCCGTCTTCTCCTCGAATTACTAGTTATGCCACTGTAGTACTTCCGTAACTCCGTATTTTAACCGTGTCCTTTTCTTCAGATCTCTTATTTTGACTTTATAATTCAGTCATGAATGAATTAAAGCTACTCTTTTCTCCCAAATTTGTTATTAAAATCTAATTTCCCTTTTTTATTTGACAATTCTACCAATCATGAGTATATTTATGGTAGAACGTAAATATCATTTTTAAAAGCACCGATGATAAAATCCGGTGGGCCAATCATAACATGGGGGACACAAGCATGTCTGTGCGCATTTGTGCGATAGGCCCAACACACAGGTCCATAAGGGTTTTTATCTTAAAACCAGTTGTAAATATTTAAACTTTAAGTTCAAACAAATTTTAAAATAAATTGAACATGGAAAACTGTTCCAATCATTTTTCGTAGCTTGTAACAGAAAAGTCTTTCTGAGGCCGTTCATACTCCTTTCATTTTAGTGTATTGTCTAGTTTGATTTTTTGGATAAATCATACAAACTTTGAATATCAATTAAATGAAATTATAATCCATACTAATATAAACATTAATTTATTGAGTTTGTCTTGCAAAAAGTTATAAAATTGACGAATAAATTGCGACGAAATTAGTATTATGTACTCCCTCCGTCCCTAAATAAACTTCCATTTTTGACTTTTTGAGGATTTAAGGAAGAGATATTTTTGTGTTGACTTTCCAAAAATAATTTTGATGTTATGTGTAAAAGTAAGATATGATAGCTAGATTATTAGTAAAAAGGTATGATATGATAAGTAGGGTATGAAAAAGTAAGGGATAAAAGGGGTTTTTTAAGGGAAAAGAGAAATTTATTTGGGGACAAAGAAAAAACGAAAGAGTAAGTTTATTTAGGGACGGAGGGAGTAATTTATTAAGTCGCTTATATTTTATCTCAAGAATATTTTTTCCTATGTATAAGCAGCAACACTCAGGTGGCCGGTAGCGACAAATGACAGTGTGAGACTTGAGAGCTATAGCATTGTAGTTACAGTGTAACAATGTCGTAAGTGTTGTAGTGTAATAATGGCATTATAAATTCCTATTTTAATTTTAAAAGACTTAGAATATTTTTATGTTTTCATACTTTTTCACTGTTATGCAGAAAATTCTTCCTAATAATATTTTTATTTATGTTAGTGATGATTAAGATTTGCCTAAAATAAATCAAATTTCAGTGTTTGAAATAAACAACCTTGAGTGTTTGAACCCAAAAGGCAAAAAGTATAAAACAAAGTGTTAAAAAATAGAAATTAAATCATTGAAATAGACTGGAATTGTGAAGATATATTTCTTTCGCTAATAGAAAAAGATTAGGTATATATAGGAGTATTTTTTAAGAACAGTCAAAAAAAAGGAAAAAAATATAATATAATATATTTTGATAAGTATGAAACATATATTCCATTAACGACACTGAATATAAATATCCTCCGTATTTGAGTAAATCCATAATTATATCGGAAGGGTTCCACATAGACTTTCCTAAAACGCGTCATGTTTGGTTCCTCCGTTTTCCTTAGTCCCCAAGATTCCCAGAGTCTCCGTACGACACGTCCCTAAAAATTCGGCACATAGGGTTTGTATATATAGACTACTACTACTACGTATAAATATATACATATAGAGAGAGAGAAAGATCGAGACACTGTCCAGTATCACCCCAAACTGCACCGCCGGTTAATTAGCTCCTAATCGTGATTAATTAGAATGATGGTGGAATTAAAGAGGAACCGAAGCTGGAGAGACGGTAAGGCGGCGGCGGCGGCGGCGGCGGAATTGGAGTCGGTGGAGAGCATGGCGATGGCGAATTGCATGTCGATTCTGTCCCGATTGGACGACAATCGGATTCCGGTGTTGGCCGGCGACAAGGAATTCGAGTGCAAGACGTGCCGGAAGCGGTTCCATTCCTTCCAGGCGCTCGGCGGCCACCGGGCCAGCCACAAGAAACCTAGAATTTACGGCGACGGCGCCGAGGACGGCCGCTCGAAGAAACTGCACCTCTGTTCTGTTTGCGGGATGGAATTCGACAAGGGACAGTCTCTCGGCGGCCACATGAGCAAACACCGCGCTAAGCAGCCGCCGCCGCGGCAGCGGCAGCAGCAGCAGCAATTCCTCCTCCTCCCTGCGGCGGCGCATAATGATGACGATGTAAATAATAGATCTGGAGACGGCAGCGCATTGACGACGAAGGAGCAAGGAGAGGCGGAATCCACGTCGGCATCTGCGCCGGCGGCGGCGGCGGGTTGGGACTTGAATCTGACTCCAATGCAGAATGAACGGTTGGTGACCGGACTGCCCGATCGGCTGCCCCGTATTTAATTCATATGCAGAGCAGGATATTGAGATTTATTTTTGAAGGTAGAAAAGAGTATTTGTTTTTAATTAGGGTATTTATTTTTGCTTTTCGAGAGCACTTAAAAGTTTAGCCATAGATTATAGAGTCCAATATTTGTACTGTATAAACTTTAGCTAACAGCCTAACATATTCCTAGTCAAGGATATTTTTTTCCTTATGTATGGTCCTCCAAAAACTAAAGAAAACATGGTTGCTCAATTTACATCACAAGCTAAAATTAAAAAAAAACTTTTTTGGATTTATTTCAATCAAAACATGGTTGTTGGAGCTTTGTTTTTACTCACATATTTCATATTTGCACATGAGCATCAGTGCTTGAACTTTTCATAATAACATGATGAGCTTCAAGTTCAAACTTATGACTTCTATGTTGAAGTTTTTTAATGTACAGGTGAGATTTGTGTTCATCAAGTCTTGTGCATGCGCATGTGATTTTTGTATTTTTTTCAAGTCTTGCAGATGATGAGCATTACTCTTTTATTATGTTTGTCATTTGGTTACTAAATAACGAGAACTCTATCCAACTAAGATCAAAATATGAAATATATATCAAAATGATACTTTTATCACTGAACAGTTTGACCCTGTAAACATCAAAAGTTTTCACTTTGTATTGCATTTGCAAGTATTTTTTTGACATTACATGTTACTCCTTCTTGGCCTAAAAATTGAATTCAAAAGAACTTACTTCAAACTCAAGAGTTTATACACTTAATTAATTAAATACTTCATATATGTTCTAAGACTTCTGGCTTTTATCGAGATTATGACATTAGATATGAGTGTCTGGAAATCTAAACCAATGGTTATTGGATAATTGTTTGGACCCGAGTGATAGTTGTTAGTTATTATGTAACTTGGCTTTAGTTGCTTCTTTGTTGTTGGCATTATCCTTTGTGACAAAAACAAATAGTAGGGTATTCTTTAGTGTTGTTAGTCTAGTTTGGGCTGGGGTTGTAGCATCCTGCCATGTCATTGAGATCATGAGAGTCCTCCGTGTTCAATTGTCTATGAAACATATGTTTTCATGCCGTGATAGGAGTCCTGTGCCAGCTATGAAATTTTGCTTCAATAGAAGATCGTGGCGTTTGCACTGGGGACTCTGCTAGGGTTTGTGTCTTCACACACACACACACACTTATGTTATATAGAGGGGCGTGAAAAATGCAAGAGAGAAACACCATATTAATACGGTGATAATGAGAGGTGTGATTCATCTGACAAATGACTTGTAGAATTTAGTTAAACAATAATGGCTATGTTGTTGCAGCATTTAGTTAAACAATACGGGCTATCAAGAGTTGGTGTTACTAGCCATAGTAGATGATGCAAACAGAGTTTGACATCAAAGTCATCCGTAACTAGATTAGGTCAATACATTAGATTGTGTCTACTGTTATTGAAGGTGTAATCTTTACGATGATTTAGTGGAAGGGCTGTTACACGGATGTTGGCCCCGCAGATGTAGGATAAATCTCCGAACTGCGTAAACAATTCTCGTATCTTCTTTATTATTTGTAAAATCGGCCCGGTTCCATGGCCACTGCATTCCAGTGGCCACGGAAGCCACTGCCCCCTTACGGAGTTCCGTTCATAAAATTGATGAACCCTACCCCTCCTAACCCCTCCGGTAAACCCTCCCGCCAAGTCCTGACCCAAACTCATCCCCCCACCTACGTCAATTGCACCTCGTAAGTATAAAGTCAAAAATTTTGACTTTAAAGTCAATTATGCTTACGAGGTGCAATTTACGTAGGTGGAGGATGAGTTTGGGTCGGGACTTGGCGGGGGGGTTTACCGGGGGGGTTAGGAGGGGTAGGAATCATCAATTTTATGAACCGAACTCCGTAAGGGGGCAGTGGCTTCCAAGGCCACCGGAATGCAATGACCATGGAACCGGGCCGTTGTAAAATTTACACTGAATAAGACTAAAACATAAGTCATTTTCCAAGGTAGGAGTTAAACTTTTTTATTCCCTAAATAGGATTTAGTAATAACTAGTGAGAAGAATAATTTTCAAGTGATGCTGGACATTTAGTTGAATAATGACTAATAGATAATGACCAATGATTCTACATTGGGAAATAAAAACATGTGGTCCTATATTGAAAAAGTCATTATGTTTTAGTCTCATTTAGGTAAATTACCCTTATTATTTTTATTCCGCTCTTTGTGTGTGTGTGTCGGTGTTAGAGAAAGTGTTGTAGCATCTTGTCTGTCTTCTGTGATTACGCTACAGCAGTTCCTGCGTATAATTCCTTAAAAGCATTTTGTGTTTGTTGGTCAGTGTTGAGCCGTTCAGAACTTACAATAGTTTTGGTCTTGTTGCTTGTTTTCTAGGTTTTAGGTATCATTGCTTGCGGCAATTTGTGTGCTTTTTATCTCCCTGCATTTTTATACTCTTTGTTAATTTGTTACAAGTGTTTGCTTTTTATTTTGATATATGTGTTTTCGGTGTGGCTTGAGACGAGTGTCTCTTGAAAATAGTCTCTCTAACTTGCGTACATATACACTACTTTCGTGAAATTATATTGAGTCCTTATTTTATATGCTCCGTATGTAACTATCATTTTTGTAATTTTACATAAATATTCAAATAAACTAAATTAAACATTATTTCCATTGAAAAACAAAGTAAATGGTACTCCCACCGTCTCATAATGTTCTTTTTCGCGATCTCTAGTGCACTATTTTGACCACTATATTTATAAATAAATACTACCTATGTCCTAATGTATTCATCTAGTTTTGACTTTTTTTGAGTCAAACTGGATGATATGAATTTTAAACTTCAATTAAATAAAAATCGTAATATATATTAGGATAAAAATAATTTTTAGAGTCAAATATGAAAAAAAAATTAAGAGAGAGGGAGCATAGTGAGGAGAAGGTGTAAGTTTCGAGTGATTTTCAAATGGCAAAAGGGAATATGTGATTGGGGAATCTCAGAAGATTGTGCGCAATTCCGCTTCTACAAATTGATCTTTTACTATATACCTTAGCTTCTTCCAGTCCATTCAATTGCATAAGTAAATGAATAAAGGCAGCTTATAAGATTATATTTGTATTGATGGATCAAATCAAAATATGGTCTGGCCTATATGGCTATATATCCTCCTAGCTACTGCCTAGTCTACTACTTATACTCCCTCCATCTACAAATAAAATTCCTCTTTTGGATTACGATGCTTGAATAAATCATTTTACGGAGTATATAAATCATTCTATATAAAATTTTAAAATAAAAATTACATATTAAAAAACTATATCAAAAGATCTACAAAACTAGAGGTGACATGACTATATTATTTTATCAAATGAGAGGCGAAAATAGGCTAACAAAGTGAACAAAGTTTCACCCTGTGAATAGCGAACAGAAAATTTATTTGTAGAAGAAGAAGAAAAAAAAGAATGGGTGGAGGGGGGGGGGGCTGGCTGGGAAAGAGGAAGAGAGAAAAGGGAGGGAAGGGTGGGGTCAAAATAAAAAATTTAAAGTTATAAAATTATAATTTGATCCCAAATGACCTGAAGGTGATCTAGAAACCGCCTGTTGGACCACCGGTGAAAGAATGTTGAAAGTTCGTGTATTTTTGTGATAGGAATTAAAGTTTATATATCGAAGTAAAATAATGATGAAAGTTCGTATACCATTGGTGAAATTTACCCATGCAAAACTAGCCGCTAGATTTTCACTTGAGTTATTGTTTTTTGACAATATTAAGATTTGTTGATATTGGCGCAATTTCAAAAATCAATTCAATCAAAAGTTTAAGTTTGCAATTTTAGATTTTAGAAATATTTTTATTACTTATTTCTATTTGTTTTTCGAAATATTTTTTTGTTTGTTAAAATATTTATTACGTTAAAAGAATTAACTAATTAGACATGAATAAAGAAATAATGGTGATGTGAAATAATATAACTCTTTTGTTTAATTATTTACTTATTCACAAATAATTTTTATTATTAATTTTATTTATTCTTTAGTAATTATTTTTTATATAAAATAAAAAAATAATAGTGATATGGAACATACCTTCTACTATTAAAAGGCCGTACTACGGAGTAATTTTTACTAGTAAAAGGCATGTACTCCCTCGGTCCCCCAAGATGTTCTAATTTTGATTTTTTTGTGACTTTTAAAAAAAAAATTAAAAAAAAGTAAAAATTTACCAAAACATCTCGAATTAAAATGGCCGGAGTATATTTATTGAAATGGGTGAGGTATAAAAAATAATGTAAGTAGAAGCAGTTCTGAAATTTTAAATATTAAAAGGGCTAATGAAAAAATCTATGGAAAAAAATAAAAAAAATTAATGAAAAGATCTATGAGAGACGAAAGAAATATATTAGAGGCATTTGTTTGAAGCCATGCATGTTCCGAACCCAAACACTCATATGCACATAACTTTTTCAATGCATGTATAATGCACCTTCTTAGACAAATATGTGGATGTTTTCTAGAATATTAGTGGAGTGAAAGTGAAAGTGAAAGCTACAATTAGTCTTCTTAAACCTTAGGGAATATCATCATAGCATGAAAGGTTTGATAGACCATCTATGCTTTTTTTTTAAAAAAAAAAAAAGAAAAGAAATACGGCGTACACGAATAGTTTTTTGTCAGTTTAATTCATATATCAAACACACATTATAGGTAATGTGCAACAAGTTCATAACATTGCCATTGAGCAAATTCTGCAATTAACAGAGAGTAATACATACAATAAAGAATTTCCAAAAATGCTAGGGAGAAAAGGGGCAGAAAACCATCTTTTTGTGTTGCAATGGTTTTACTGATTCTTTTTTGCCTTGGAAATGGTTTTCGATCTTCGATCCAGGCTACTAGTTCTAACAATGAAAAGAAGTGTTTCAACCAGCATGCCGACTACCAGACCAAGAATACCACCAGCAGCACTCTGAACATAGAACAGGAAGGGTGGCCAATTATTAAGAAATATTGTAAATCGAATATAATATGACTTCACTCAAACATCGTAAACCTAATCACGATTTTTTGGGACGGAGGGAGTAAAAGAAGCCATCAAAATTACCATGACAGGACTGTGGCTAAATAAAGCCGTGAATGCAGCGTATCCCACCAAAAACCCAGTGAACATAATAAGCACAACGTGTAATCCTGCCCAACACACCACATTCCACTCTTTAGAATACAATAAAGTGAAAAAACATATCAACATTAACAATGCCACATATTGATTTTGAAATGTAGAATGCACTAAAAAACTGAAAGGGGCATAAATTGAAACTATATAGAACGACATAAAGTCACATTATTTATATATGAATCAAGAAATCATTGTTCCCCTCATCCAACGTGTACATGTAACAAAGATAGTGTTGCCTTCTTATAAGCAAACACTTTCTTTAATTCATATTCGTGTGTCTCGGATGCATCAAACTGAGCCATTCAAGAGAGGTGTGTAACCAATTCTCCTGTGCTACTTTGGCAGTACCCTTGGCGTTGATAAAGCAAGGCATCCCAATCTTTGACTTCTCACACAATAGCCTCTTTTTTTAAAGCAATTTTTATTGATAACTAAAAGAGGGGAGAACTCAACCGAAGCCCCTCAAACAAAATGTAACAAAGAGGGGAGGACTAAACCGAAGCCCCTCGAGAAAAGCAAAAAAAAACAAAATCTATATACCAAGGCAACTGTGATCACAAAGTAGAAAGTGACGAAGTGTACATTTGTTGTTGCAATTCTAGGTAGGCTTTAGTAAGATTTTAGAGGCCAGGGCTCAATTTTATTCTGATATTAATCATCGTATCGTAAACAAAAAAACAATTAGAAAGAACTCCCAAGATCTAAATGGTTAATCTACCATCTAAAAACCAAGTGACATATAGGAAGAAGAACTTTACTTTGGAGTCTTTTTGCATCATTGATTTAAGCCATTATGTTGTAGAGCCACAGAAATGCATAATCTCATGTAGAAATCACACATCCTTCTAATCAAAATCTTCATCAATGGAACATAAAGAAACTAACAATGCAAATAGACGAGAGTGAAATAATGCCATACAGAGGACTTACCAAACCCCAATTGATCCTTGTAAGAAGAGAAAGGATCTTCCACCTTCTTCTTGGGGGTTATGTCCTTCACCAATTTCTCATATGCTTTCCTCTCAGACGCCTCCGCCAGCTTCCTCAGTCGAGCCTTCAATTCCTCGCTCTTCTCTCTTGGCTTAGGGCTTGAGAACACGAAACCCGATCCGGAAAGGAGGGAGACGAGTTCGGGTCTTCGAGACGGGTTCGATCCGATCCAGATGGATCGCAGAGCTCTGTAGGGCAGGGATGGTCGGGGAGAGAGCGTGCCGGCGATGTCCCTCAGGTCTTGAGTGAGGTCAGGATCCTTCGTAGAAGCGGAGAGAAATGAATGGATTGAATCAGTTGCTGAAATTACCAGGCCACCGTCGTTTACCGGAGAAGATGTGCTTTTGTGATGATCGTCTGTTTCCATCCTAATGAGCTTTGAGAAATTGCTCTTTGCCAAAAAACTGTAAGAAATATTTACATCTATTATATGAACTCAGTACAAATATAAGGACGAAGACGAACTCATCTTGGTCTTTCACTAACGACCTGGATAATTTTTCATTATTATTAATGTTTGATCTTTGTCCCATAAAATATTACCCATTTTGAGATATTTTTGGTCATACAGATACATGATTTGAAGAGTTTTTTTGATGTGTTCTTATGTGGTAAAAGTGGTATCTTTGTCGTTCCCGATAGCTATAAGGGGAAGAGACAAGATCAAAAGAACAAAATGAATAACTAAAGATTAGAAATAAATGATTGAAAAAGTGATTTGAATGTTGGAGGATAAGTATTGATGACATGCCTACAAAGAAAGGGGAATTATTTGGGGAATCAAACAAAGTAGTGAGTCTAACAAGGATTTCTTTTCCATTTCCATGGTAAAAGAATTCAATCGTCTAAGTTGATCTCCAATTCCTCGGTAGTTCAACCGAGACAATACCGAAATAAACAAGACTCCTCAGATTCATAACCACTTCCATGGAAGGAATTTGAGAGTCAAGAACAAAGACTAGAGTTCTAAAACCCAATCTCTTGGTGATTTAAAACTCATTTCCAAAATCACGCTTTGTTTGGTGCACACGGGAAGTAAACTTCTAACACAAACTACATAGGATTAAACCACAAATTATCCCTAATGAGAATCAAAGCATACTCTATTCATCAACACTTAGCAATCCAACACCCAGACCTAAATATTTAGCCTCTCATGATTTCAAGAAACATAACCATAACGCAAGAACACATATATGTATTAAAAAAATGTAATCTAGCAATGAACAACAAAGGTAGAGTCAACAATAAGATAATATATAAAATCTAGAATTAGTATATTAAACAAAGAGGGATGAAGAAAAAGGACCGACCGGAATCAGCCCTCAATCGCGAGCGGAGACTAGAGTTCGCCGGAGATTTTGGAGTTCGCCCGTGCCTGCTGCTACGTCGACTGGAGTTTCCGTCGAAATCGCCGGTGCTATGCAGTCGGAGATAGCCCAGCGGCAAAGGATTCCGGTCTTACGCGTCTCTGGTTCCCGATCCCGGCGTCGATCGAAGAAGTGCTGCCTGCGTCTGTCCTTCTTCCGCCTCCTTTTGCCGTCCCGTCCTCCGCGTCCTTTCCTTTTTCCCAATCCAGCACCCTTCAATCAAAATAAACTTTGAGAAATTATAAAATAGACCAATTTTTCTAATAAGTTTGCTAATTGGTCCTTCCTTTATAATTGAACTCTAAAATTAAATCATAAAAATAAATCAGTCCAAAATTATAATATCGCCTAAGATTATGTAATTTAATATAAAAATAAAGTCAAGAAGTCTAATCAAAATATAAAAACACATGCACAAATAATAGACTTATCATTACACGCTTTGACCATACATTAAATATAATCTAAATAAAAAAATGTTATAAAAATTTGATACAACAAAACTAGATTCTAAGGTGAATCCAATTATACTAAATTATATTATAACTCAATATACTTTTTTCACAATTTGTAGTCAAAGTATGTAACTGTTTGACCAAATACTATTCATAATGGATAATGTTTCATTGTTTTGTGGGATGGAGGAAATATAAAGTTATTTTTAAATCTGGTTTAATTTTAATATGAATAAGTTAAAAAACCAATCACTTGCATTAAGTTGAACCCGTACATTACCAATTGATATAGTAGCTACTTCTTTTGTCTCGAATTTATCATTATATAACTAGACTCCAAGAAGTTTAAAAAATGTTACAAAATAAAAAATGAATAATTAAAATTTGTTTAGAAGAAATATAAAGATTGTAGACCATATTATTTTCTAGAGTATTAATTTAGAAAAGAAAAAATAAGACAATTATTTTAGGACAAATTAAAAATGAAAATTCAACTTTTAATTCAGGATGAAGGAGTATATTTTGGCCAATTTTAGAGTTGGAAAGGATTAAAGGCTTAATAGAACAAGGACTAATAATAAAAGAAACAGACGAGAGATTATCAAAGTGAGGCTGCTTAAGGTGCTTGATGACAGTAAGCCAATTTGATTGGGTGACAACATTAGCCAACTTTGGCAATATGAAAAGGTAAATGCATCCAATGCGCAACTTTAACACTTAACATTTCAAATTTCCAAGGAAAGATTGAAAGAATTGACAAGAACTAAAGGGATCGTACTGAAAAAAAGAAGAATTACATGAATAATGAAGGGTACTCATGAAGAAAGCAAAGTATAGAGGATGTAAACGAAAATATTTTAATTAAGAGACTTGTAAAAGACTTGTAAGGTGACTGACTGAGATTTATATTGAGAAGTATAAATGATGAACTATTTAGAGATGACATACATTATATTGTTATTTTCTATGTCATAATTTTCTCCCACTCTTAACTGTAATTTCGTGTATTAACTCTTTTGATTTAGGTTAGAGCACTGGAAATAACTTTGAAGTCTCGGGGCTTCAAACCGGGGCTTCAAAATTTCTCTCTCTGCCACGTCAGCTTTAACTTACTTCAGAGTTTCACTGCAAATGGGTTTGAAGCCCCGGGGCTTCACACTGGGCTTCAAACCTTAATTTTCTTAATTTTTTATTGCATATTTTATAAAATTAAATTAATAAAAATTAATTACTTAATTAAATTTAAACGACAATAATTCATTAAATGAAAAATAATTACCTTCAATAAAAAAAGAACATTTAATTTTAAAAAAATTATATTAATTAAAAACTTAAAATAAATTATACTTAGTCTTGATCTCGTTATGTCTTCTCTCGAAAGCAAATTATATTCACTTGGTCGTTAGACTCGAAACCGGACAAAGGAAAATTAAAATGGATGAAGAGATTCATGCTAAAAAAGATAAAAAAATTAAATATTTTTTTTTTAAATTTGAAGAAGATAGAGGAAAAGATTTTGTGGGTGTTTAGTTTTTTTTAATTGAAGAAAAAGATTTTGTTTGTGAGTTTTATTTTTAAAAATAAGTTATATAATTTGTAAAAGTTTTTTTTTTAATTTTTGTAACGGCTTGTAGCCGTTTGAAGGAAGAAATTCAGGGCAAAACGCCCATTATACATTTGACGCAATGCTAATAACGCCCAAATGAAGGCCGATGGGGGCGGTGTTTCACGCCCCTGGTCCGTTAAAAAAGGAATGACGCTGCATGGCGTTAGTACCATTTCCACTGCCCTTACACATGAAGCTATGCTTGTGATGAGTGCATTGGTCTGACCCAACTGTATAATGAGTTAAGTCCAATGTACCTTATATATTCCATTATTATTACTATTATTAATTTTATACCCCGTATGTAGACTCAGATCATCAAAACTCATACGGAGTATTATCAATTGAAAATTGAAATCAGAATGTTAGTCGAGTAAACTCAATCTGGAAGAGAGACCACATTTTGCTGGAGTAGGGGGGCAAGATAGGCGTTAGATTTAGATCATGATAATGATTCACCTTTCACCCTAGGAAATGATATCGTAACGGTCTCCGCAACCACTATAAATACTCCTACTCCATCTTTAGAGAAGAGATTTTATGTTGATTTCCATCAACATATTTGAATTAATAAATGGGTGGGATGAGAGCAAATTTACTCCATTTCCCCCAAAGAGATACACCAGTCTTTTAACGGTTTACAATGATACAAAATAATATTTCAATAAAAAAAATTGCATTGATAATTTGTGTCATTGTAAATCATCACGCTAATACAAAATTGTGTTTATGTCTTCGAAATATGAGATACAATTTTTAGTGTACAAATAGTCTAAATCTTGAACTAATAGATGGGTGGGATGAGAGCAAATTTATTCCATTTTAAACATGGCATAGTTGAACTCAAATTTACTCCATCTTCCCTGGAACGAAACCAAAGAAAAACCACATACAAATCTTGTGTTTGCTGGTGTGTGAAAATACAAGGCTGAGATTAAGAAACTTAGAAACCCTTACGTCAGGGGAGTCTTCTTTCTTATCCAGGCCTCCGGCGAAGCCATCCTCAAGCTGCGCAAATGGCGGCTAAACTGCACAACGTCTACCTTTTCTTCTACAACTCTCTTCAGGCAATCGGATGGTAATTCGTCTCTGTAACCCTCTCGCTTGGCCGTCTCATTTTCCACAGCAATAGTTTAGTTAGCTAACACAGTACATGTGCAGGGCAATTTCACTTTGGAGAATCTTGATTAGCTTCGCCTCCAGGAAGTCTGTCAATGGAGCTTATGCTTCTGCTGGGGAGCTAATTTGTAATTTCCAGAAATCTGTTTCATTCTTGGTGTATAGATTTCATATGGATTTGCAATTTTATGTTCTATATTCGTGTGTTCTTGGTAGGTTTTCTGCAAAGTGTGGCATTCTTGGAGGTATTCCATGGCGCTATAGGTAAATTCTGATGATGGGTTCTTTCTTTATTGTACTTAGTTACTGAAAGTGACTTGGTTACTTATTTCTGATGATGGGTTCTCACTTAATTACTGAAAGGAACTTTGCTTGGGGTTAATAATTTGTGTTTGAGGTTGAAGGGATTGTTCCTAGTGGAGTTTTACTTCCTTTGATGCAATGGGGTGGAAGAATTCATTTCCTATTAGCTCTTGTGCGGTCGATCAAGGAGGTTTACCTCTTAACATTTTCACTTCTCTAAACCTTAATGGCTTTATCAATCTTTTTTCTTTGTTGTTTTATTAGCTTAAAAGCTCAGTTTTTTGGGTACATCATGCTTGATATTGTGAAATTATCCCTCCTTCCCGAAATGAAATTTACCGCTTGACTTCACAGAGTTTACCGTTTACCTCTTACATTTTCACTTCTCTGTACTTCTATGGCTTTATCAATATAATCTTCGTTGTCTTCTGAAAAAGCAATTAGTTTCCAAGTACATTATGATTTATTTTGTGAAACATCTCTCAACATATTTGTTATTTTTGCTGCTTGTTGCTTTAGGTCCAGGAATTGCCAGCGGTTTTCATAACATTTTTCGCTTGGAGCCTATCTGAAGTAACTCCCCTATATTTCTTAAAGGTTCATATCGAACCCGTAATTTTTTTCATTGGGATTATGATGTAGGGTTGTTTGGATGCAGGTAATTAGATATTCCCATTATGCCTTGAATTGCATTATTAGCACTCCACCTTATTGGGTCACTTTCCTCAGGTTTGTTTGACGATTTTAGCGGTGTACGGAGTTTTGTTTTTGTGAGATTCTATGATTTTTCCCTATTCTTGGTTAGGTACACTGCATTTATCGTGTTGTATCCAATTGGAGTTGCACCGGGTGAAAGTAAGCACTGTTAAATTGCAAAAGATCTAAACCATCTCATACAAGATAGTACGTCATTAGTTTCGATAATCCAATTTCATTGCTCTAAAAGATTATGTTTTCCTATTTGCAGTGTGGCTCATGTATCAGGCACTTCCTTTTATCAAAGAGAGAAATATGTATAGAGATTTTCTCCCTTTCAGCTATTATAACTTTGTTGTGGTATGTCTAACTCAGCATATGCTTTAGAAGTTCATCTTCTTACAGTTTTTATAGGCACTATAGCCTTTTGGTTCTAAATTGTAATGCAAAAATGGCTAATTTATGAACTCATTTGGATGCAGGTATTGCTTCTCTTATATCCAGTTTTATGGCTCAAACTTTACATGCACCTGTTCAAGCAACGCCGTTCAAAATTGGGTAAACTCCAGAAGAGAAAAAGAGGTTAGGCTTGTATAAAGAGTCCCATTCTCAACCTTAAATGTGTTTTTTATGTGTATCTCAAATATATAAATGTGATACAAACAGAATGTAATGAAAATTCAAGAGTTGTTTCTGAAACTTATTTCACAACAAATGGCAAAAGCCATACATACAAACTTTGGTGAATCAAACGAAAGGCGAAATTTATTGTTTAGCAGTCTGAGATAGGGATGGGTTGGTGGTGGGTGTCGGGGGAGATGAAAACGGTTTGGTACAGCAGGGCAGCAATGGCAGCACCGAGCAACGGGCCGAGCCAGTATACCCAGTGGCAGGCCCAGGCCCAGCTGACCACAGCCGGCCCAAATGAAACCGCGGGGTTCATGGACGCGCCATCAAAGGCCCCACCAGCCAGTATGTTGGCCCCCACTATGAAACTTATGACAATTGGGGCAATGGTCCCGATTCCTCCCCTCTTGGGGTCGACTGCGGTGGCGTACACCGTGTACACCAGCCCAAAAGTCATCACCACCTCCAAAACAACGGCGTTCCACGGGCCCACTCCGTCCGAGGGCCCAAAAGCTGATGTCACCATCCCGCCCGTGACCGACTTTAGAACGAGACAGGCGACAACCGAGCCCAACAATTGGGCTATCCAATACATGATGCTCCTGAAGAGGGTGATGTGGCCCCCGAGGAAAACCCCGAATGTCACCGCGGGGTTGACGTGGCCCCCGGAAATGTTTGCCCCCACCGAAACCGCCACCAGGATCGCAAACGCGTGGGCCATGGATGCAGAAATCATCCCATCTGGCATGGCTGGTCCGTTGTCCGTCAGCTTGTCTAATGGGGAGAATTGAACAAACAAACAATTCACATAAAAAACTGTTGGGGAAATTAATGAAAACGTGGATGAATCGAGAGTCGTGTAGAACACTTTCAGATTGAATATTTTGGATGTTCAATGCAAAATTCAATCGGATAAAACTCGAAAGTATGAAATTTTGAACGACTTCTGACCATGGGCTTGCGGGAATTTATGGAGTTGCGGTGAGAAGAAGAGATGCGATCGCGTCTCTTACCCAAGACACGCAATCCTTCGCGCGGAACTCTTCAAAAATCGTTTAGGGAATTTTCTTTTTAAAGAAAATTCGAAAAATAAAATTCAATTGAATTTTTTAACATAGCACCTTGGACCCGGCCGCTGGGGCTGCCGCCCATTGAACCCTGCTCGGGGGCGCTACCCCCGAACCCCCGCCAAGGGGGCGCTGCCCCTTGGAACCCCCGATGAAACAGGATTTTTATCGTAACAAACTCAATGAAGTGTGTACTCCGCACCACCAAACTTCTTTGATGATTATTAAGATACCATTAGTTATAGTTTTTCCAATTACACTAAAATATATAACAAAAACCAAGTTAAAGACTTTGAAAATGTTGGTAGTTAAAAGTTACGATCCAAATGAACAGAGTCTTACTGAAAGCCAAGCCCGAACCGGAGCCGGCAAACACGAAAATAAACATGGAAATGAACTCGGCGAGCGCCGCCCTTAGAGCATCTGGCTCGCTAACCTCCCTCGAGTTTCCAATGGCAATTCTCGGAAACGCCATTTTCTTTTCGTTTCTCTCTATTTGCAAAGTTTTTTCTTGATAGTACTGTATTGCCCTCTCCATTCTCGTCTAGGCTTGAGGCACATATTTATAATACCTCTTAAGTTAACCAAAAAAACCTCATATTCAAATACTGGTGGTATTATAAGATCATTGGGATTTTTAATTTTATTTTTAATTCATCATGAACCAACTGGTAAGATTATACAACTTACTATACACTTATCGGTGTTAGCAATGTCATGGGATGACCTAAGGGCTGTACGGTGTTCCGTGCATAAAATTGACGGTTTTACCCCTCGCGGCAAACCATTATTTTTTACGAACGGAACATCGTATAGCCCCGGGTCATCCCATGACATTGCTTAGCAATGTCATGGGAACCGGGGTGATTGTGAAATATTATTTAGTAGCTCCAATGTTTAAACTAGACTAATAGAGTAATTAAATCATTTAGCAATTTTGCATGTTTTTCTATAGGTTTATCAAGGAATTATTAAAGCACATCAAGATTTTAATATTTTAACAGAACATGATGGGCACGACGATGGCGAGCTGTTAGAGTTAAATAAAAATTTGGGAGGGTGGTTATACAACTAGACTATATTTCACATTATTTTAATTTTTAACAATGATCTCTTGAGTATTAGGACGTGTTTGGGAACATCAGTTTCAGTTTGAGCTTTGGATAGTTTTTTAATGGTAATTATTCCAAAATCACGGTAATTTTTGGATAATGATTTCAAAATTATCTTTCTTCTTCACTATTCCAAAATCGTGGCAATTTTTGCTTATTTGTGCGTTGTCATATATTATTTGATAAAAGAAAATATTCTTGTCACCACTACTACTTGTTTTGTAGATTTTTTTTATGTAGTTTTTAAATACGTAAGTTTTATTTTTTATTTATATACAAATTTTTAAATAAAATAAATTGAAAAAACTTAAAATTTTATTTCGTTTTGCGTAAGATGAAGATGATTGATTTTATTTTTCAAAATATTACTCGTATTTCTCTTTTGTGAAGAGGTGTATCATTTAAACCCTCAAAAATTTGGCAATATAAATAAATCACCTACACATGTGACATGTGTCACTCACACTGCCACTGAATAACGTCGTTTTGAATCTTATTAATCCTTGTTTGCCCACACATTGACCGTAGCGTTTGCATCTCTACTAAGGGCCTGTTTGGGAATAGCGTTAGTCATTAGCGTTAGCGTTTTGAAAAGACTATCTACGGGCAGCGTTTAGCGTTAGCGTTTTCAAAGTAATCTGCACCGTTAAAATTTTATCCAAAACGCTAACGCTAATCTCTAACGTTATTCCCAAACAGACCATAAATGTAATTTAAAATTATTGTATCTCTATTTCATAAATTTAGAATATGTAGAAATTACTGTACTAAGAGCATCTCCAGCAGATAGTGGAAAAAATGATAGTGTAGATCTTACTTTACACTATCAACAGTGTTTTACACTTCCACTTTTTTATACTCACTCCAACCATATCTTCTATAAAATATTTTTTTTATGATATTTTAATATTTATCCAAAGTTTAATTTGTAATCTACAAAAAAATAATTACAAATTTCCACCCCTACAAACCTAATCTGTAGTTGAAGATCAAAAATGAAATTGTACTTGGCGACATAGGAACCAAAAAACACAACCTTATCCTTTGAAATTGCAGATCGCTATTTGCAAAAACAAAAAAAAAGTCTTTCAAAAGAAAGGAGTAGAAAAGGTGAAGATATAGACATCCCATTGCAAGGAAGAAGGTACAGATATCTCCAAGAAAAAATAATTCAATTCATACCTATGGCAATCCCAACAAATAAATTTATGCAGACATCTTGTGCAAAGAAGAGGAACAACAAAGAAGATAGATTTGGGGATGGGAAAAAGGAGAAAATAGAAGCAGACGGAGGAACCATATTTCCACTATCCTACAGTAAAGGGGTATATTTGGCAGAAGAGAAATGAAAAATACACTACATTCTATTTATTACACTACCCGTTGGAGGCCTAAACTTTGCACAGTAAATGCTAAACCTTCTACTTTTTACGCATTGCTCGTTTTTACACTCCGTGTTGGAGTTGCTCTAAGTCTTAAGGAATTTGGATTGAATCACATAAAAATTTATGTTCAATCGATTACTTAGTTCAATTTAAAATCATATAAACCCATTATTTTTTTTATCTTTTATTTTCCGATTGGGATATTCAAACACTATTGGTCGTCATGTAAAGAATTGTACATTAATTAAGTCGATCCTATGTTTTAGCGGTGGTTAGTTAGTTGGCCATGTTTTATTTAGATTATCTTTCTACTAACTGCGGAGTAAATAGCTTTGGACGGCTAAGATTAGATGGAGAATTTTCCTTGCTTACACTTAACAATGTACCCACTCCTTAACAATATGTATTTTGAGCGAGACAATTAAATAAATGAAAAACAAATAGGCCAAGGAAACATGTATGATTTCAGAAAATAATCTTATCTTTTTACGGTCTGTCAAAATTAGTTCTACAGGTAGCTAGATACGTAACGGGTAATTCACGAATGAGCTTATTTTTTGAAAATTGATAAAAATCTGAAATTATTTGAGGTAATTTTCCTTTTTTAAATATATACTCCGTATTTTTTATTTAAGCTACAACACAAAATATTTTCTTCAATTTATTTTTATTTTTTAATTCAAAAAGTCACAACACAACAGTTTTGTTTGTCTTCAATTATTTTTCTTTTTTTGAACTTTTAAAATTTAAAATTAAGTTTTTAAATGTATAACAGAGTCTAATTATACAATGTTATACTCTTGTTATGATTTGTGTAAAAAATTATTAGTATTTCTTCCATCCATGAGTATTTTGACTATTTTTGACTTTTTCTGTCAAAATTGATAAATTTTGATCTCAAATTAAATAAAAATGATATTAGATATTTAGATAAAAACAATTTTATTAAATTTATTTTATAAAATTTTTTAAAATATTATTTTTTAATTAATATAGAATATATATTCTTTTTAATTATAAGCCAAAAGTTGAAAATGATTGACTACAAAAAGTTAAAGAAAGAAAAAAAGAAGTGGATTATAAGAAAAAAGGTTAGAGAAACATTTTTAGCAATATTAATTAAGATGTAAAGTTTTAAAATTTGCATCGGTATTTTTCAGTAGTTTTAAACCGGGCTATTGTGCCGTGATCCAAAATGCAATTATTGGATATACATATGTTGACCATGTGGTGATTTCATAATTAAAAAATTGATCCAAAAATAAAAAGAGAATATTCATACACATGCACAAATACACACACACATACCATAAATATGGGGAGAGAGTGAGAGAAGTGAACGTGTTTATTATAGTAAGACGAGTCAATCCGGCTCTGAATTTGTGGGAGCCATATTTATTTTGTTTCCATTACAACAAACCAATTTTATAATTAAAAATATACATAGGTATAATTAATAAAGAAATCATCCTAAATAGGATTAAGATACAGATAAAGTATAAAAATAAAAATTTATATTTTTATTTCCTAAATAGAAGTTTGCACTGTGGTAATGTAGCATGCTCTTCGAAAATTAAAACATGAAACTCCTATTTTGGTACTCCCTCCGTCCCGTGAAACATGGAAGTTTCGCTTTTTAGGAGTGATTTAAGGATAGCGTATTTTGGTATTGAATTTCCAAAAATGTCTTTTGATGTGATGGGTAAAAGTATGATTTGATGGATAAATTATTAGTAAAAAGGTATGATGTGATAGGCAGGGTATGAAAAAGTAAAGGGTAAAAGTGACTTTTTAATAGAAATGAGAAGTGTTTTGTGGGACGGATGAAAAAAGAAAGGAGAAAGGTTTTATGGGACAAAGGGAGTATATTTTTAAAGTTTTACTCTTTCTTTAGTTTTTTTCTCTAATTAATATGAACATCAATACTACAAGTATATACTACGTATATAAATAAATATTACAAGTAACAAAAAGTAAAATATTTCAAAATTAATATAATGATATTAAATTAACATTACAACGAAATGTATTTTATTTATAAAATTTGGTAAACTTAACCCATGTAAATTATTCCAACTTAAAAATGCAAAGAGATAAAATAAAGGCTAAACTCCACCATTGGTCCTTCAACTTTATCAATTATGCACGATTGGTCCTTCAAGTTTTAAAAGTCCATAAATAGTCCTTCAACTTTATGAGTTATGCACGATTGGTCCTTCAAGTTTTAAAAGTGCATAAATAGTCCTTCAAGTACACGTCAACCCTCCAGATGAGGTCCTTTTGACGGTAAATGTTAAAAGCTAAATGGAATACTAGCTCCATATAATACGGAGTAGTCGTATCTAGTGGAATTTACTCGTATTATATGAAACTAGTATTTCGTTTAGCTTTTAATATTTACTATCAAAAGGACTTCATATGGAGGGCTGACGTGTACCTGAAGGACTACTTATCAACTTTTGAAACTTGAAGGACCAATGGTGCAGAACTCATAAAGTTGAAGGACTATTTATGGACTTTTGAAACTTGAAGGACCAATCGTGCACAATTGATAAAGTTGAAGGACCAATGATGGATTTTAGCATAAAATAAATTAGGACAAATTAAATAATTACTCCGTAATAACCAACACCACCAATATAATTTGACTTTCCATGACGAGCGTTGGTTGTTGCCTTGTTAATGTGCACTTTCCTTCTCATCATCTCTCTCTACTATACATACTAACATACATACATATACATATACATTACATTCCCACTCTTTAATTCCTCCCAAATTTAAACAAAAAGATCTCCTCAAAGATTTCCCCCACCCATTCTTTGGATCACTCTCAACTAACAACAAAGACTTATAGAGTGAAACAAGAAGAAGAAGAAGAAGAAATATCTATCTATGGAAGAATTTGCTTCATTGTTATGGAATTATCAAGAAATGGAGGAATTAAAGTACATGTTGTTCCATGCCAGTCTCGAAATGGACCGTTTGAGGGCCGAAGCGGCGGAGGAAAGGGAGAGGAACAGAGAGTACGCCAAACAGCTGATCCATCTCCTGAAGATCGCTTGCAAAGAGCGAGACGAAGCCAGAGACGACCTCCAGAAGCTCCTCGCTGCCGCCGGAATGATGGCATCGTCGGAGTCAAACGCCGCCGGTTTCTCCGGCCGCCGCTCCTCCTCCGTCGAGTCGCTTCTGGACGCCGCCTCTCCTCCTCCTCCGCGGGAAGGTGGGGAAATGTGGGGAGGAGTAATGGAGGGCCTGGGGGAGGGGAAACCCCTCCCGCAGAACGGGAAGTTTCTCCAGGCGGTGCTGGAAGCGGGCCCGCTGCTTCAGACGGTCATGGTTACGGGCCCGCTTCCGCGGTGGCGCAATCCGCCTAAGCTGGTGGCACTGCCCGTCCCTCCGGCGGTCCCCATCAAGGGGGAGAGTTTTTGTGGTCAAAGGGTGGCACCCAATCCGGTGTTGGGTTTTGACAGTTTTGGAGGAGGGCATTATGGTCATCTAGGAAAGCGGCAGAGATTGCATTGAAGAACCTGAAATTAAGTTGCATGGTTTCTCAGTGGTTTTTTTTTTGTGTGTGGAGATTATGGAAGATAGTACTTGAGATTTATTTACTGTAATATTTTTTGGCAATGAATTCCAAGATTTATGGAATCTTATTTTGAGGACACATTTCTAGCTAATTACATGCTTAGACAATGTGGTGTTGACGTATCATACATGAGGGTGGGGGATGACTGGCGTGGCAGGTGGGTCTCCACCACCCTGTATGCACTTGCAATTTATATGGTACAATCGGTTGTACTTTGTGGTACAATCGGTGCACGATCAAGAAACGAAGATAAAGGGTTATAGTGGACCCTAACTGCTTCGATCAAGGAACAAAAGAGCACGTCGATGGCAAACTCTAAGGATTGGATATGATGAAGATGTCTCGTCGAGATTTGCAGCAGTGAGCATAGATGCGATGAAAGTGATGACTGCTAGCTAGTTGGGCGGACTTTAAGTTTAATCAGAATATTGGACTATATTTTCCAAATCTGAAGTAAATGAACGATATGTCACTTGAGAATAAATACTACTCAAAATCAAAATCAACTTGTGGGATGCAATTGGAGATGATGGGAGGCGTGTTCGGGTCGAGATGAGGTGGGGGGTTTACCGAAGGGTAGGAACCGTCAATTTTACGAACGGGGCACCGGGTCATCCCATGACATTGGTTCCCAATGTCATGAGAACCTTGGTGATATTATAATTTTAATGAACAAATGTGGGAAAATGAATAATACATTGTTTCAGAATGAGCATTACGTTAATTCGAAATGAACTCTACGTCTTTTCAAAATAAATACTCTTACACTCCAAAATGAACGTTTATATTTTGTGCGAAATGAGTACCACTTTACTTCAAAATGAGTACTACTATACTCGGTTGTACCATAATTCCTGGATAACCAGTTGTACAATGTACATACTCAGATGCGCCCTCTTTGAAAGTGACTGGGTTCCCTCGTGAAACCTAAGGTTTTTCTTTTTTCTTTTTAAATTCTTATAAAAAATTAACAAATCTCATTATCTCCACTTCAACTAAATAAAATAATTCACAACTTTACACTTCATAACTCTCCCATTCACATTCATCATACCACACAAAGCATACATAATTTTATCATTCTACATCATACCCTTTAATTTACATCTTATCACTCCCCATCATCTCTCATATCCCCAGACCCGCCCATTGGGGGGGTAGCCTGAACGGGCCGGGCGCAAGTTTTATGCTGGGGGGCCAAACTTTTTTTAATGTTATATATATTTATATATAGATAAATATTAAGAAGCCCAAGCCCAAACAAAAAATTAAAAGGACATACGTCCCGCGATTCTGAGAAGTGAAAATCCAATTGCCGGATTTGTCCCTTGCGTGAATTGTGTCGATTCAGCCTCCCGAGTCCTCGCAAGCATCGTCGGTCATCCAGTGAAACCGCCGATCATCGGGCGACAACTTCTCTTCAAAGTTCAGTCTTCAGTCTTCCAAGGAGAGAAGACTCCAACGGATGGAGGTAAAATTTTTTGTCTTCACTCTTTAGTCTTCTTCTTTTTATTATTATATTGTTATTATAGTAAACGAATAAGGGCTTCATTCTTTATTCTTGAAGTAAATTCTTTTCTTTTTTTTTTGAATTTGATGGAGTTCGTATCTTCTCTTAATTGAGAAATTCTAACACAATATGTTTTTGTGATTTAGATTTTAAGAGTGAGATTTTAATATATTAAAAATCTAGGATTAATTGTTATTGGTTATTTGTTTAATTAACAATTTTTGCTATGAATGGATTTTTAATTTAATGTGTTCTTCTTTTCATTTGCAAGAATAATTCTTTTAGATTTGATGTTATACTATTTCAAATTTAGCTCTAATTTTAAATTTGTTTTGATTTTACTAATTATTAAAATTTTTGAATTTAGATTTGATTTTCAGAAATAATTTGGTAGCTATGCGTTCTAAACACCTAATATAATAAACACACGCAGCAAAAATCGCAATTAATTTTCCTCCTCTTCTTCACACGAACGTCGCAATTAATTTTCCTCCTCTTCTTCACAGGAACGATTTCCTGAAGATGCTCAATCATTTCACTGATATTGTTTCCCTAAAAAAGATATCGATTCCAAGCATAGACTCTCCTATACAACTCCTTAGAATTGGGGTAGGTGTACGGAGAAAAGATTATCTAAGGTTGCGTTCTGTTTGCCTGGTCTAATCTAATTTTTTGAAGATCTGATCTGGTCAGATCTGGTCTAATCTAATCTGATTGCAGTTATAATTTAAGCTGTTTCTGATATGATCTGATTTGATCTGGTCTAATTTGATATGATTATAATTGGAATAAGTAATAAGCAGAAAAAATAAGCTGAACTGAACGCTGCCTAAGTTTCCTAAGCATTTTGGCATATCTGTCCATGGAAATTTCTGCATATGCCCCAAAGCCATTGATATCCTAGTTTTGGGGTGTAGGGAACAGATCTATCCATATTCACAAAGGAATCTTTAGTTCGTAGAATCTTTTTCTAGTAATAGCACACTAAGGCCGGCCCATATAGGGGACAAGGTGGCCGGTCGGGCGGGGCCCAATAAATTTGGGGGCACAAAATTTTTTTTATAGTAATATATATATATATATATATATATATATATATATATATATATATATATATATATATATATATATATATATATATATATATATATATATATATATATATTGGTTCTGGTGAGAATGCGATCTTAGAAGAGAAATAAGAATGAATCTGGTGCTTTAGATTGTGCGATCTAAGGGTCATGATTGCATCAAAATTAGATGCAACAAAATGGGTTGAAAATGCATCACGTCAAAATGCATCATAATCCTTTGAAAATGCATTATTTCAAATTTAGAGCGCAGGATGCAATCTGAGCCGCACGATGCATCAGATCCAACGGCTAGATTTCATTCTCATTTCTCTCCACAAGGTGCATTCTCACAAGAACCGGCCCCTATATATATATGTGTGTGTGTGTGTGTGTGTGTGTGTGTGTGTATATGTATGTATGTATAAGCCCAGGCCCAATAGTCTTAGACCAAAAAAAAAGAAGGGAACGGAACTACGGATTACGGAACACAGAAGAAATTGCCTGCCCCATTCTGCCCGATCGTATTCACGAAGTGAGTCAAGTGACGAACCAGAGACGACGTGCCGCCGCCGATTGAGTCGCCGCCTCCACCGCCGTAACTCAGCGGCGGAGGTCCATTAATAAGTATCGAAAGGGAAAGGTTAAAACATTAAAAATAAAGAATTTAGAATTTAAAAGAAAGTAACAAAGTAATAAATCTAAATTTTAGATCCCAATCAATAATCAAAATTTAAACTTTAGAAAAGATTAAAGTAAGAAACTCTATCTAACTTACTTACCAAGATAATGTTATTTATTTGATTTGGATGAATTGTTTTGAATTTGTTATTTATGATAATTATATATTTATATTAAAAAAACAGAAAACTGAAAAAAAATTAAAAACTGAAAAATTGTTGAATTGATATGAATTTATGATTTATAAAAAAATTAAACTGAAATCATTCAACACATTGCAAACAAGTGAATTTAGCAATCCCATAGATGTTTTGAAGCATTTAAAAGAACTTGGTTGTTACCAGAATGCTTGTATTGCATATAGAATTTTGTTGACTGTTCCAGTAATGGTGGCATCTGCAGAGAGATGTTTTTCCAAATTGAAGCTCTTGAAATCTTACTTACGGTCTACAATGTCCCAAGATAGACTTAGTGGATTGGCGGTAATAGCTATCGAGGATGAAATCTTAGAGAGCATAGACTGTGAAGATGTGATCAACCAATTTGCTCTCAAGAATGCAAGGAGAACTTCTCGAATCCTCGGCTAGCTTTTACGGTATGTAATTATAAAACTTTAATTTTGTCATTTATTTTTTTCTTTTAATAATATTGCGTTATTTATTATTTAGATATAATTAGTTTACATATGTGAATTTATTAGATCATTAAATAAAAGATTTTTAGGGCCTTTTTTTTTGTTTCGGCCCAGGCTGATGAATCCTCAGGACCGGCCCTGTAGCACACATCCATTTTATTGTGACTATTAGAAATGTTGTTATTGGATTAAGCTTGTTAAAATATTTTTATGACATTGATATTGTAATCAAGTATATATTCACTAAAAATAATTGAATAAGTTAATCTTCACACAATTCTCATAGCCTAAATTGTATTCTAATTTATATTACATCGCTAATTTCCATAATTCTATAGTATAATATAATTTGGCAATTGGAGATGTAATTCAGTGAAGGATGCGATCTATGATATAAGAATTGTGTCAGAGATAATTAGAAATGCAAGATTAAAATGTTTAGTATGAAATAAATGTGTTATTTAATAAATTAGAAGGACTAACTAAGTTTAAAGATCATTTCCAACAATTCTTACAACACTCTAATTGAAGCCTTAGGCGTTCAAAACATAAACAATTTTCACAATTTTGGGCGTTCAACACTTTAAGTTTAAAGTTCATTTTATTGATTTTGTGGTCAATTTTTTTGACCAAAATGAAAACGTGGTATTTAGTGGAAATATTTCAATAAAACATGGTATTGAAGCCTTGGGCGTTCAAAACATAAACAATTTTCACAAATTTGGGTCTTGATCTTCCTCCCTATTCAGACACTTTGGATAATCCGAATTGAGGCCTCACATACAATATATATCTGTGTTGAATTAAGATAGGCCCAACTATAGTTTGGGCTGACGCGATAAAGAATTTATGGCCCAATTAGAGCAACTCCCACACCTTTTGCAAAAGTGAGTAAAGTGAATTTTTTTATTTAAGGCTTTTACTATACACAAAAAAGGTCTCCATATTGGGTACATTGATTCAGTGGCGTTTCTAAGTTTTTGGTGATGCACAAAACATGTTTGATAAAATGTTCAACCCAAAAAAACATATGAAGAGTCTATATTATACCTAGTGTAGTGTATGTGGTTAGAAAACATGAAACAAATTTTATAACTTATTTTACAAAGCCAAAACAGTGCTTATAAGCTATTCTGATTTATAACTGACAATTTTATCCACTTCCAATTGGAGTTGCCCCCTTACGTGCTAGGTCTTTTGTTTAATTAATTTAATATAGGTATCATTTAACTATAAGTTTATTGCACTTTATTTCTTGACTTGAGGTCCTAGAAAGACAATTCTCCGAAATCTGTGAGATGTTCGCCTATATTTGATCTCCAACAGAGGCATTAGCTCTATTTTTTAAGAAAATATGACCACATATTATAATTATAATAGAATTATTTACAATATATATGTATGATGGGATTAACCCGATCAGATGGCGGACCAAGAACGTAATATGGATCAGAAAGATATAATTACTCGATAATACTCTTTGATTAAGTATGGAATTACTTCCTTTGCAATGGCGGGTTCTCCCCCTTTTATAGTACTTCTAATATTGCGATTAAAATTATACAAAATGGGAGAAATTATGGAGATCATGGGGTTGTGATTCCCTCTTTTTCGGTCTCGTTCTCTTCCCATCTCGTCCACAACTCAATGATGTAGGCCACGTGTCCCATTCCTTTCTTGGACTGGGTCACATTGATTTAATCCATGATTGGGCCGTCTTTTTCCATTGCCACACGCGTGGTATTGAGCTCGGCCCGTTACCCCCACCTGGCCTTATACATCTCGCGCTGTTATGGGCCTTCATCGAGCCTGGAGTCGGGCCCATTAGACCCGATATCCATCAATGTATATCTGTGTGTGTATATATACATACATACATACATATATATATATATATATATATATATATATATATATATATATATATATATATATATATATATATATATATACATATACATATACATATATACATACGCGCGTACATACATACACACACACACAGATATATATATATATGTGTGTGTGTGTGTGTGTGTGTGTGTGTGTGTGCGCGCGCGTGCGTATGTGTGTACGCATATACACGCGGTGATAATAAGTAGAAAAATAGGTTAAAAATTGTGAAATTTGCACTAAATACGACTAAAACATAATAACTTTCCTAATGTAGGACTTAAATTTTTTTATTTCTTAAATAGGACTTAATAATGACCTTGTGGGGGGAATAATATCCAGTAATGATGGACATTTAGTTGAATAATGACTACATGATAATGACCAAAGGTCCTACATTAGGAAATAAAAACATATGGTCCTATATTAGGAAAGTCATTATGTTTTAGTCTTATTTAGGTAAATTATTCTTAAAAATTACTGTCATAATAAAGATATTGAAAAAACTTAAATTGAAAATGTCATTTTATTAGAAACATTTGCTTTGCACACTTAGATTTTAGATGCAAAGTCGTCAACAAAATTTTGAAGTAGAAGTCAATGCCCTGTGCATATTCAAAATTTTAAATTACTTTTAAAATTGTTAATAACAAAAGGAAATGGTTTATAGTTATATAGTGTGCCTTTTCTAAAATAAAGATTTTTAACTCCATCCCTAATTCCTATCTTTAAAACTGGACACGTACTTGAAATTTCAAGTTTTCTAGGCATTATACCAAGATATATTTTACCAATTTTCTAGTTATTATACCAATTTATATTTTACCATTTTTTATCTACATAGTTATTTTATTATTTAAAAAAGAAAGTTATACAAGTTCTATTTAAAAATTAAAAAGTTGTACAAAAGTATTAACCATTTTTCCCTTTTATTGATTTTCAAAAAAAAAAAAAGATTCATACTAATGTTAATAAATTTACATTATTAATAAAATTAAAATTTCTAAAATATATCATATCTAATATTAACATAGATTTATCATAAAAATAAACGCTAAAATTATATTTTATCCAAATTTTAATTTTTTTAGATAATATGTATTCATGTATATTCAAAACAATTTAAAATTGGTGTAGAGAAATTAGTGTGTGGAGTGAGTTCAATGGTTTTTGGTGTGGTGTGACTATCATCATTCATCACGCAAATGATATATTTTTATAATTTTAATCTAAAATGCTACTGCGGAGTATCAATTTATGTTACTAATTTTAAAATC